AGTAAGTGGACAAGTGGTCTTGGGCAACCTACTATGTTTTAGTGTGGATGAGCTAACTAGTCCATAGATCTGACATAGCATAGTATGTTTTTTTAACATCCTGTATTTAGGAAAGAGAACAAAAGGTGAGCTACAAGAGATAGGAGAAACCCTACATTTGATTAAATTTCGTCTTCTACTTAGTTGCTAAGTTAAGGTGCTGATATGTTTTACATCTGGTTGCTGTAGAATCAAGCACAAAGCCTGGAATTCTACAAACAGAGCAAAGAATGTTATGGCTTAGAAGTAACAGCTGTGGTGATACAGCTATGCAACTACAGAATTTTCCCCTGCCATAGGGCTACTAATGACCCAAGAGGGGCTTAACTTACTGAGCACTGGAGTCATTGGTTTAGCAATGAGCAAACGAGCAAGCAAATGTATTTCTCATGTCTAGTGCTATAAAGATTTCTGTTCACAAATCTTTCCTGTACAGGAAAAACAAAACTTCTTAACAGAAACAAAGGTGAAGGAAAAAAATTCTGCAAATTGGTAACACGGGATGTCATCCTGTTCTGTGCAAACCAGAAAAACTGTTGCTGAACAATATCTGCTTCCTTTATGAAGGATCCAACACTGCAAACTCAATAGCTCAAAGATAATCCGAACGTGATAAGTTCTAATGAGAAAAGACAAAAGCATTAAATTCTAATAATGAAACATGATAGTGTAAGACCATTGAAGGTTTCCTTAAGTTATTGGAGATTACTGATGGTTAGTGACTAGTAGTTTCTGGAAATACGCTATTTGCTTAATCTGTCAACTGTGATATTTGAAATGAAACTAATTTAAAAAAATTGAGAATAAACTTTGGAAGGCTATACTGTTACTTTTGAAAGATCTGATTGTGCTTTAAAAGTTTGGAGGGGAGAGTTTTAGGGAATTGTTTTTTTCTTTGCTCTTTATATTGCTCAATTTACCAATTTCTACACAACCACTTAACTTCCACATTGCCCTCAATGCCCTCTGAACTGTTGAATAAATATTGAATGGCAACTCCTATTCACTTAGAACAGTTTGCAGTACTGCAACCACAGACAACTACTATGGTCTGCCAGGTGAAGCTGAAATTCTCAGCCATTCCTAGGGAGTATTAAAAGGTCTACATTCAAGATTTAAGGTTGTCATTCCAAGCAAACAGTCTGGAAGTAAATTGCAATGTCAGAGACCATTATTTCAGAATAAATGTTATGACCAGGTTGCCAAATGTATGGTATGCTAATTAAGAGCAAAGTTCCACCAAGAGCTTATTTTGTTAAAACCACAGTTCAGCATTCAGAAACTCACAAGATTGGCTATTATTGTTGTTGTTGTTGTTAAGTTGGAAGGGACCTTGGAGGCCTTCTAGTCCAACCCTCTGCTCAGGCAGGAAACCCTATACCATTTCAGACAAATGGTTGTTTTCTTAAAAACTTTCAGTGTTGGAGCATTCACAACTTCTGGAGGCAGGTTGTTCCACTGATTAATTGTTCTAACTGTCAGGAAATTTCTCCTTATTTCTAGGTTGCATCTCTCTTTGGTTAGTTTCCATCCATTGCTTCTTGTCCTGCCTACAGGTGCTTTGCAGAATAGCTTGATTCCCTTTTCTATGTGGCAGCTCTGAGATATTGGAACATGCTATCATGTCCCCCCTCGTCCTTCTCTTCATTAAAATAGACATACCCAATTCCAGCAACCGTTCTTTATATGTTTTAGCCTCCAATCCCCTGATCATCTTTGTTGCTCTTCTCTGCATCTCTTTCTAGACTCAACATCTTTTTTATATCATGGTGATTTACATGATTTACATGTGATTTACATCATGGAAAACAGGATGTTGCACTTGGGAAGTCGTTGATCTGAAGCTCTGCTTGTGTTCTTACAAACTTGAACCCAGGGCTTAATAGTCGTCCTTAGGATAATCTTTTAAGTATAATAAATTTTAACAGTCCAGAGAATTAAGAATTCAGCATTTGGTTTCCTGTGGATCTGGTACCACTAAAATCTTGTGAGCATGTGACTTATACATCTATTACTACATAATGTATACTAGGGCCAGAATGTATACTAGGATCTTTTTACACACCGCTCTGAAAAATTCATTTGAACCTAAACGATTTTAAATTCTTAACCGAGAGAGGAAAAGAGAAAGAAGTCTGAATTAGTCCTGAAAGTACTTGACAGTTCCCAACGACACCCTGATATTGTTTAGGGAGAAATGGAGGTACCACACCTAGGTGGGTCTTGCCAGGTTACTTTGAAAGCTTCTATTGTCTGCAGGTGACTGTGTAACTGGGCTTGTCACATGTATTGTTAATTGTTTATGAAAACACCTGGCAGGGAGGGACTCAGAGCAAATACGTGTCTTCTACTAAAGAAGTGGCATTTGTGAACTATTTGAGGAGAGGGGCAGCCATACCGATCACTTTGGATTCAAGAAATGATAAAATACTGGATATATTTAACAAGGCTTTTAAGTTGACATACTGTATTAGTCTATAACAGTCAAATTCTATTTCATTATTTTTCCCAATTCAGATTTTAGTTAGTTACCACAAGAAAAAGGTAGTCATTTAGATTCACACAGCTTTACCAATAAGGTTCTTTGACTCTCTTAATGAATCCCCAGATTCAATTTTGTATTTAAAAACTAATGTAGAACATAATAACAAGGATTGATATTTCACACTGGATATAATTAACTATAATATGGTATATAACAACCCCTTTTATATTTTACAATTTTAGAAGCGTAATATTTTTTGTGTTACAGATACTAAAAATTTAGAGTTGTTTTGCTCTAACAATATGACATGATGACCTACTTTCAGACAACAGTTGCAATTCTTTCACTTTTGTGATGAAATCTAGTTTTCATTAAAATATCTGTCTTCCAAAACAAAATCTGCTCTTTATCAGGTCATATTAACATAGGAAAGTCATTTTTCCCAAGTCAGACTGTCTAGATACTGAATGGCAGCAAATGCTCCAGTATTACAGAGCAGAGTTTGTCTAATATAAAAAGGAGATATCAGGATTGAATCTTCTTTATACAAGACACAATATCTTTCACTCACCAGTTCCCTTTTTGAAGATGGCCACCTGAAACACACCACACCCACACCCACCACAATATTAGATTTTTTTTAATTGAGAAAGGCTTTCAGGTATTGGGAGGGTTTCAGGTTGTCTGCATGGTAAAATTTGTACTATTTGATCTATTTGATCTCTTGCCTTTTTCTGTAGAATTATTGCAGTGTCATCTATCAATGTTTTCTCATGAAAAAACTATTATCCCAGGCTTATACAGTAACTATTGCAGGGTATCAGTACTGTAAGAAAACAACTCAGATTACAGTGTATGGAAGACTAGCATTCTCTCCACTTGAAAAGAAACATGGGGGGCTCATACATTGAGTTCCCAAAAGATTACCAACTTTTGCTGCTGATAATTTTTTCCAAAGTTATAACTGAAACACTGTTTTCAGTATTACAGATATTGTATTTCACTATTCAGTATTTTGCTATTCAGATGGACAACTGCTAATTTGATAGCAGGGCTACTGACATCTCTGATGATCATTGCTATCTAAACAGCTGTAAAACCAACATAGCCAAATGTTGCATCTCCTTCCCCATTCAAGAGTGCTCAACAGCTGAGCCATATAGCCCTGCATCGGTAGCCACTGTCTGATACAAACACAACAGTTAGTGTGTTCTAGTTTCTGTTTTTCTGGGTAAGTCTGCCTTCTTTCTCTCCTTCCAGCCCTAGGATTCTATGATTCTAAATAGCCCATACTATTGATTAATCATTTCCATTTTAGGCAACTAAAGGGAGGCTGAGAAAGGACTTCTCAAAAAAATGAAGAGGTTTAAATCAAGATAAAAGATTATTATTTATCTAGAGAGATTGAAAATAACCAAAATAGTACAACTTCTGCAGCCATTTAAGCCAGGTTAAAGAATCAGACACTAGACATGCAATTTAAATTGAGCTTCCAAGAAGTTAGAAACAGTAGGATTTCTCTTGTTTTGATGTTTGTGTCTAATGGAATACCAAAAGCTATTAACAGATTTTGATTATTCCATAGTTTTGCTTTTTATCTCTTTTAGTATGCCTATAATAATCAGACAAGTATCTTGCTCAAAATCCTGAAACCAAATTATTTTTGGCAACCATCACAACAAGCAACGTGACTGGATCTTTGCTTAAAAAGCAATAGCCATAGTACAAGCAATATGATGAGTCACAGAAAAAGTTCAATCAGAAAATCCAGAATCAAAAATGGATCAATGTCCCACAAAGAAAAAGCTAATATCAACAACTCATACTTCTGTAAAACCTTTAACACATTCAAGTTAGTGTTTCATATGCCACATTGTTTGACTGGCATTTGTTCCCAGCTTGGCACCTAATAAATAGGCTGAGGAGAGATTAAATTACATGACAGTTGATCTATATGAAATGGCAGCAGTAGCAGTAAAATCTCAGTCATATTGCGCTTGACATCTGGTGACTGCATGTTCATGTAATATTCTTAACAACTATATATGCAAGTAGCTTTTCACTGCATTTTTCTAGAATGTTTTCATGACTTCTGAGTCTAGACTCCAGCCCCTGATTCCCTAATAATCTCCCATCAAAGTAATAACCAGATTCAATCCTGTTTATCTTTTTCAAGATCAACGTTGTCTAAGTGCTGCCAGCTCCTGTACACATCAAACATTAAGCATACTCTGAAGATGAAAAAGTCATTGAGGAAATCTACTGTCTAGAGTTATTGCAAAATAATTCTGTCTGTCCCTTAATAAAAGGGAAATTTTAACTGGGGCTGAATGTGTGGGTAGTGAATGGTCCCAGATATATGGCATGTATAACATTACTTCTGTGTGAGCTATATTAGTTAACATTGTATTTCTGGGTATAACTCAAGGTGCTGGTGATCATCTTTAAAGCTCTACATGTCTTGGAACCAGGTTACCTGAGGGACTGCTTTTTCCAAGAGTCTCTATCCATCCAATCCAATGTAGCAGAATGGGCATGCTGCAAATCTTCTCAGCCAAAGAATGTCAGTGTTATGACCTAGGTGGTCAAGACAAGGCAGGCCTTTAGAGAGTCCTTTATTGTCCTCAAGAAGTGTTCAACAAACAGCCCTCCAATGATCAGTAAGGCTCCATCCCACGCTACCCTGAAGGTAGCCACCCTCAGTCCCCCCAAACAACAATCCATATATTACCAACTGCAAAGGAAGATCTGAAGGTAAAACAAAGCAAAACAAAGGGGAAAGGCTAGGGCAAGACAAATGGTAGTCCTCAAAGTAAAATCAGGGTACAAGGCAAAGGCAGTTCTGAAGGTAAACCCCACAGGCCTAGAGTAAGACCAACAACAGTCCTCAAAGCAAAGCGACAAGCAGTCCCTGAAGCAAGGCAAAAAGGCATGAGTCAAAGCTGGAGGAGTAATGCAAAACAAACATTTGTTCCTGGCAAAGGCTAATTCCACATGGCTTCTCTTTAAGTTACTCCCCTCCAGGTGTTCCTCGTGAGGAGGGTGGGGCAACCTTCTCCTGAGTAGTCTTGCAGCCTTCTCTGAGCTTGCCTAAACTCTGCTCTCACCGCTTTTGGATCTAGTGGAGGAGGCAGCTGTTCCTCATCAGAGAAGATCTGCTTATCAGCACCACTGCCTGTCAGCAGTCGATCCTCACATGTGTCTGTGAAGGCAGGCAGTTCTCCGTCTGGTTGATTACCTCACCCAATGCTTGAGGGGCCTGGAACAGCATCGTCCTCAGCCTCTGGCCTCTCCAAACATGCCAAGAGAGACGTGCCGTCCCTGTTGGACTGTCCCAGTTCTAACTCCTCCTCCTCCTCCTCCTCCTCCTCCTCTGAACCGGGCTCCAATGAGACCATGACAGTCAACTGGCAGGGACTAGAAGATGGGGTTTTTCTGCAGTGGCCCCTGCTCTATGGGACATCTTTCCTTCAGAGATTAGAATGGCTCCAATCTTATTTTAACCTTTCTCAAGGGGCTAAAACCTGTCTATGTTCTTGAGCCTGGGGTGCTGAATGTGTTAAGGGCTCTGTTTCCTGGCTATATTGCTAAAAGGCCAAGTATCTTGGCTGCTATATGTATTTATTTTGAAGTTTTTATCGTTTTGTGTTGTTTTAACACAATGTTTTAATAATAATATTTTTTAAGTTGTATGCTGCCCAGAGTCATTGAATGAGATGGGAAGCTGTAGACATTGAATAAATAAATAGATATCTGTAACATGAGCTGTTATTGATGACTTGATTCACATATCAGTCTAAAGCATGATTTATTTGCTAAACAAATCATAATATACTAGGCCAGTGATAGCGAACCTTTTAGAGAACAAGTGCCCAAACTGCAACCCAAAACCCGCTTATTTATCGCAAAGTGTCAGGGCTGCATCAGCATTGTGATGCCCTCAGGGGAGGGACCATGGCCTACTGGGTGGGTGTGGCTGCAGTGGTCACAGCAGACTGGGTGAGCATGGCTGGGGCCAGACCCTCGCCATCTCCGGAGCATCCCCAGGGGGCCAACGCCACTTGCTCGCTCACTTCCTGCCCTGTTGCTTCTAAATGCCACATGCTCACAACTCTGGTGAACTCTGCTGGGGCAACAGTGCGCGTGCCCACAGAGAGGGCTCTGACTGCCGCCTCTGGTATGCGTGCCATAGGGTCGCCACCACTGTACTACGCCATAAGCTATAAACAACAATGCCTCACACAACCTATCAAATCAATCACATTATAGTTTAGTAGAATGTATTAACTCCCCCAGTAGAGATTTATTACTTCAAATCACACTACTAAGACAATAGTCTTTGAACAGCAACATAAATATTTGAAATAAACAGTCCACTATATAACAGAATAAATAGTATATGTGACTGACGCAAACTATCAACGAGAAAAAACATTATCCAAAGGCAAATCCTAATCATGTTACTATTATGTAGTCAAGACTTCAGTCTTGCCACATCTCTCTCAGAACTTGGCCAGTAACTTCTGTCTGTCTCTCAGAACCATCCAGGCTGCCTGCTTTTTTAAGGCTCTGACTCAGTGCTGGGATTCAAATATGTGAACAACTGGTTCTCTGTATGGATGCCACTTCCGGAAGTCCATTCTGGGCCTGGGCAACAAAAAATTAGCTGCCAAAGTCATGCAAACCGGCTGAATCCCACCACTGCTCTGACTTAGACCAAGATCTATCTGACTAGCATAAGTTCTATCAGCTCTCTAGCTACAGTTCTCTAGATCAGTTCAGATTTCAGCTTTAAGAATTCATAGCTAGTATGATTATTGATCACGTTGGTTTGAAATTCTAAAACAAGAGCATTAGAACCAAGATAGATTTCTGGAAATGTTTGATGAGGATTCATAGTGAACTAGACATATCCCTGAAAGAGCAGGGACAGCATTCTGGTGGTGATCAACGGTCAGATGATGAATTCTCAGAAAAAAACAAGAGATTACCTACTTGCACTCTAGACTGCTATTCCTCATGAGAAGACTGCAGGAACTGAGTTGAGCGGCTGGGAGTCAAGAGATTTTCCACCAAGTTCATAGCCACAATGTAGTCTTTATAAACATAATTCCCTTTAAGGGTTTGTTAAGAGATGACATAATGGAAGAAGAGCTCATTTGTTGTATTTTAAAAAGTGATAATTACTAAAATTGATCATAATTTTTCAGATGAAGTCATTTCTTTATATATTTCTTTTCTTTTTCTTTATTATACTAGATTCTTTTTTCTTTTCTATTTTTTCATTTTGTTCCTTTTCTTAAGTTTGCATTAGTTTTTATCTTTTTAGTTGTAATGCTTAATAAAATTATGATTAAAAAAAGAACAGAGATAGGTTTTCAAAAACTGAGTGTCAGCTGTTATGTAACTTGTGGGTCTAGACCTGAGGAATAAAGATAGTTTTCCAGGAAGCTATGGATCATAATTTGTGCCAGAAAATAATTAAATTAGGAAGTTCAAGAAGTATTCATAGATGCTGTGATAAGTAGGAATGAGCAAACAAGCATTTCCCATCTCTTTTCTTCCACAGTTACCACAGTACTGCAGTTATTGGTTGGACATCATGAGACAGATAGATCAAAGTAAGGAACAAAAAAACAAAAAAGAAGGAAGAAGGCGGGTCTCCCATTTTTTCTGATCCTGTTTGGTGCCAACAAGCTCTGTCATGCAACAAAGGCCCTCAGATCAGAAACATTTACTCGCCTATTCTTGGCAGCAAGGGTTGAATGATAGAGCCAAAGAAAAATGGCAGCACCTGGAACAAAAGATTTGTCTCCAAAACAAATCTTGAACATTTTTCATATTCTTGGTTTTGCTAAATTATTATACAAGAGGTAAAATTGTTACAGGGTGGCTAAGTTAGCAATGGTGTCTGCCCAACTTTAATTTAAAAACTGAAACTTGCCCAGCTACTTAAACTTGGGTTGGGCTATTTAATCTTATCCATTCAGTCAATAGATATGCTACTGGGGAAACACCCAGAACAGTTGGGCTGACCACAATCTGGTTCACACTCACCACTGTTCCAAGTGTGAGAAATCTCAGGGCCATATCCCAGGTTTAATTTCCTTGAGAAAGAGAAATTGGGAAATACATAACATTTCTGTATTATTATTTGTTTATAAATAGATTAAACCCAGCAGGTGTGCAGTTCTTGCCTTGTTCTTCTCCAACCAAGGAACAAACATTCCTTGGCAACATCTTTTTTTTAAAATCATATCTCCCTGATGATACCAATCCATGTATGAGTTGTCTTTAGTTCTACTGACGTTAAATTGCCATTTTCTCCCTTAAATTGATGGTAATCTATGCCATTTCAAGGTGTAAAATAACCTGACATAATTGTCCAGTTATTTTGTCAATGGCATAATCAGGTGACACATAGGTAGTAGTGTACTAGAGGTGACTTGTAGCAGCTCAAAAGATCTTGATTGTTAAATTTTAGGGAATTCTGCATGCAGCTGAAAGCTGAGCCTCAATGCCTGGTGCCCTAATCAGCTGTTCATTGCATGAAATGAAGCCTGCAGAGCCAGTTCTTAAACATTTATGGGCACACTACTGCCCCAAAGATGGGGGATCAATCCAGTGCCTATTTGATTCCATCATGCCTTGATCCTTCCATTAACCAAGCATTCATCTGCATCTTGATCTTTGTCTCTCTCTCTCTTTGGTAATAGAATTGTATACCAGAGTCTGCCATCATTACATTCAGGAGCTTGAAGAATGCAGAGTTCTAAACAGACGTTAAATCTGCATTTTGCCCAGGAGAAAGCAACAAATTGTGAGTCTAACCATCTTTGAAAATTTGGGGAACTTGTCCTTTTGTATGTTTGGTATATTTGAGGGTCTAGGTTCATATGATTCAACGTTCTTCATAATCCGCTTCAATTCTGTTCCCCATCCATCCTCTTCACTTCTTTTTCTGATCCTGCTGGCATTCAGTGGTAAACAAGAAAAGCAAAGGGCATAAAAGACACAATTGCAGGTGTCAAATCCTGACCAATTCCTGCTGTAGTGCTATGATTGGCAGAATGTTTCTCACTAGTTGGTGATATTCAGAAAGAGAAAAGGCAGCAAAGTCTGAGAGTTAAACCAGTTGCTTTGCTTAATGTTCTCTGCATACATGAAACAAGGACTCTACTATCTGGTGATAGAGGCAATATAAGCAGGTCAGGAATCAGCAATCTGCACATTCTGTACCAATATGTGTTTTTTTTTAATCTCAAGGACTGGTTGATAGCACTTTATTTAGCAGAGAAAAAAGCGCACCATGAAATTCTAACTTAAAACAGTCTGCTACTGAAGACTAACAATATCTTTTTACAATTTTCTACACTTGCTTTGTATCACTCACTTTCAACATTTCAGTAACAATTGTCTCCAGTGTCATTTCCAACTACCTTTAAATTACAGCTCAGATCTGTTCAGGATACCCATCTGTGCAAGATAGTATCAAGAGCAATCTTTGATTGTTATAGCTAAAGTAGAAGAGCATGATGTATTCTGTTCCTCTTCATCAACTGACATTTTTTCACAGG